AAAAAAAAAAAAAAAAAAAAAAAAAAGATAGAGGGCATAGCTGACAAACGACAGAGAAGAGGAAACCTAAAAAAATAATAAAAAAAAAGGATCATCAACGGTCCTGTCAGTGAAACTGCCTTATCATCCGCATGGCAGGGTCACACCAAAGGCAGACCCCATAGCCCCACCCACCACCCGCAATTCAAGGCTGATCACCCTCCATTCCGCATGCACTCGCTAGAAGGCCGCTCACCGCCCCGCATGATGCGTCAAAGGCTGCATGCAGACCCCGCATGATGCGTCAAGGCTGCATGTCGACAGGCAAGATAGCTCAGGCCGCTCACTGCCCCGCATGATGCGTCAAAGGCTGAATGTCGACAGGCAAGATAGCTCCTGCGCTGAAGAAGATGTCCAGAAGCAGACACACATCAAGCTGGAAAGCCTCTTCACAAAACAACTGTCAGATTCGTTTTGGAGCCTCGATTCAAGCTCCGTATCTATGACCTGGGGCATTGGGCCCTGATTGGGTTCCATAATTTGGCAGAAGATATTTAGCAGGCGCCCAGATCCCGCACTATGCCTGTCCCCTCATACGCCATGCGCACCATCCATCCACAGGCAGAAGGGATTCCTGACAGGTGTCAATATATATGTCAGCGGGGACCAGCCATAGCTAGGAGAGTAGCCCGCTGCTGCAGAGCTAGGTAGTGGCATCCTTCGCCCCCCACACGAACATACGCTGCAACCACCCGGTCCACCCCAGCTACGCCAACAGCAAGCTCTGGCAGGCAGGGCCGATGCGTTCCCGGGCCTGCGGCGTGATCCTCCACCACCTGGGCACCCGGTCCCATCATTGTGGACCAGCTAGCCAGGAGTTGTGTAGTACCATCATTTTTCCTTTCCTTTCCTTCTTTTTTCTCTTTTTTCTTTTCTAAACGAACATCTCTCCAGGAGCTAGTGGTGCTGGTAAAAGCAGACTCGGCTAGCTCCCTCGGGGGAGATTCCATCTATTGGTGGGTAGTGTCACTTGCTGGAAAGCGGGTCCAGTGTCCCGTTTACAAAAATGCATGGGGAGAACTTGGGTGTGCCCTGCCAGCATTGATTGCCGTGGGAATCCAGGGGATTTGCTGAGCAGGCGATGTTATGGGGGGTAGGGGGGGGGGGGACAGCCTCTTCAGCCCAGAATCTGGGCGCCTGAAAACACCTGGAGCACTCGCCGCTCCTCACCCTTCCTATCAGAACCAGATTGACGAAGCACTTAGGGAAACAAATTGCCTGACATGACCGAGAAGAACAAACCATGATGCATAAAGTCATGGGAGACGCTCATCAAGGATGAAGAGTGGAACAAGAATTCTCGAATCCGTGGATCCAGCTTGTTCTTCATGGGTACCATAGTCCCGGAGTCATTGACCCGCCCCTCTTGCCTCTTTTTTTTTCCCCCAAAAATAGCTTAGGTTGATGTGGAGGCTGGATTCTAGACGTATGAGAGTCACCTTCGGCACTTGGCCATGTGGCTGAGCCCCCCTATTCCTATGGGACTCCCTCCCCACCTACCACTCTCATACTTCTCCCCGGTGCACCCCTACTCCCACTACCCTACCTCTTTTTTTTGGGGGGGGGAGACAAAAGCTCCAATCTATTCGTGGGGGCGCCACGCGCTGAGAACCGGGCTCAGCGTCCCTTTAAGTACAACTGAGATTATGTGACTCATTCGAAGTTCCGGGGCCATTACCCGGCTTCGGCTAAGAGAACAATCAGTCGATTACCAAACCTGCGAAAAACTATGAGAAAAAACTTAAGAACAACTACAGTTCTCAGGAAAAAAAACACCTGTGATCTACCCAGCCACAATCCAAACCTCCTACTATTTACACCTCCCCTTCAACAATCGAAAAAAGATGTACGTCCTAGCATTGTCCTCATACCAGAACTCAGCTGATCTCATACCCCCTGCGCTAGGGTTACAGAGCAACACAAACTTCCCCAGTACCGACCAGCCTGGTTCAGACAACAAAGAGTGTCTTCCTCCCTCGACAACTCCCGAGTAGCCACACGCCCCTAAGGTTACAGGGAAAAAAAACCGGCATCAGCTATGTCGGACGAGCTGGTTATGCCTTCTTCCCTCGAAATAACTCCCCAGATCTCTTGCTCCCCCAGGTTACAGAGCAAAAACTCCAGCACCGGCCTGTGTCGTCCCAACATCGTCCTTATGACCTACTTACTGAGACAGAGGTCCCTTCCCATGTTGAACCCACTAACCTTTTCCTTCCCCCCCCCCCCCSACAATCTATTCCCTAATCATAGGCAGATCTCCGCTAAGCCTTTTACCCCACCTCAGTGTCTGCCACTCAGGATTGTCACCCTCCAGTCTGGGGGTGACCTTAACCAAACAGCGGTTGCAGGTACCAGGGCGCCCCCTCTCACCTCACTCAGCCCTGATCGAAGCATATTCGAACGAGCCTCGTCGCCCAGGTACTTCAGGCGCTAGGTATAGACGTTTTACTACAAGTCCTATAGGTGGACCTATTTGTGTTCCTATCCAGCTCTTGTTACTGTTGTTTGTTGTTAGGTTGTTCACTGTGTACATCGTTGTTGTTACTACTACTTGTCAATGGTGAGCTGTTTCTTGTTTCTTGAATTTTTGTGCGAGGACATGGAAGGCAGGCAACCCCAATTGATCCCCCTAGAGAGCCGCCCTATCAGAAGACCCCCACTAACACCGGTCATAGACTGTACTATGTCTCCTCTCATCAACTGTTCCTATATTTTATGGGCGGTCTGTAGGGTCCTAGTCTTGTCAGACTAACATCGACCATAGAGCATATAAGTCTCTCTTTTTTTCTTTTTCTTTTTTTTACACAACAGAAGCTCCATCTATTGGTGGGGAGCAGCACCTGCTGGAAACCGGGTCCAGCGTCCCATTTACAAATGCTTAAGATAAGGTTGTGGATAGAGTCAAAAAGGACCTTCGAAACTTCTGAATTCCACCAGCATTGTGGACTGCTTCTGATTGACAAAAGCCCCCGAGGGCCCGGAGGGGCACCGAAGACCTGGGGTGTTTTGTCATCTATCGTTTGAGAGGATGTGACGAACCACTTACTGTAACGCGCGACTTCCTGCACGGTTGCCACGAGGGGTCCTAAGCTGGGAAGATTGGGCCAATTACGGGAAATCGGGATCGATGGAAAGTTGCATCAGTACCCTTGCTTTTTCATCTTTTTTGTCACTTCTTGTCGGATGACTGGGTACGGAGCTGGGTGTGTCTTGGGACGGCCGGTTGAGTGATTGGTTGGATGGATGTCTGGCTCGCCACCGCGCGCGCGATCAATAAATGTTGACGTCGTTTCTTTCGTTTCGGTTTCGATCTTTTGGGCGCGGACATCGCGCGAGAAATTGCTTCGTTTTTTTTTTCAATCTTTCCTTTGAGTCTTTTTCGAATTTTGCCGAGCCCCCCCTGATGGCTCTCGGAGTTTTGGACTTTCCTTCTGGAATTCGTGCTTTTTGCTTTTTCGCATTAGATAGGAATTTAGGAATTCAGTAATTAGGATTTTTTCTGCCGCGCGACGCCTTTTGTTTTCGCGCTTCTTCATGCGGCTGCAACGGTACTCTGATTAGTGGGCGCCCTTAATCGTATGTGTAACTGTAATTTTGGGCGGGCGCCATTGTAACTGTATCTCTCTTCTTGCACTTCGTCTCTCCCGCCCTCCCTTTCTTTCTTTTGCTGGAATTTTGTAAGTCGCGGCCTGCATGCTCGGATCGATGCGTGGAGAAGGGTTACGTCCCCCACGCCGCGGCCGATCATGCAGAACGCAGGCGTCCTTTCTCTAACCCTCACTCTAAGTCCCAGTAATTCCGCGTTCTTCACGCATGCATGCACACTATAAATTTTGGCTGCGCGATTAGTGAGCTCTCTTAACCCGTTATTGGAAGCTCGGGGTTGCGCGATCAGGAAGGGTCGACACACGAGCGAAGTAAGAGGTGAGTAGAGTAGGAGCTGGGCGACCCAACGGGCTGGTGCCGAGCGCGCGGGATTGACGTGGGCCACGACGGACTGTGGGCACGGGCGAATCCGACGGGTGCAGGAGGACTAAGCGGGGTGACAACTTCGTGGGTTGGTGCGTGACGACAGCCTGTCCGTATCGGAGAGAGAGAGAGAGAGGCAGAGAGAGTTGAGGATGATGGACGTGGATTTGCGGTTTCGTTGTCTCTTCCCCCTCTTCACCTGTGTACATACATTTTGATTACGGCTCCGGGCGGTTTGCCCGTTCTTATTTTCGTTTCGGCTTTTTGAAATCTGGGCTTGGATTTTTGCTCACATTTGTCTTCGCGATGTCCGCTTTTGCTTGCATTATGTGTATGATTGTCGAATGTATGGATGCATGAATGTTATGCCTGCTTGCCTATCTCTTTTGCGGAAAATCCCTGCCTTTGCCTTTTGTTTGTGCCAAATCTTTGCTTGCACCGGGTGCAGCGATAGATGGGATAAGAGTTTGGCCCCGATGTAGATTTTCCTTTTTGCTTGTCCCCTGATGAGGATGTGGTATGATTGCATCTTGCATAACCGAGACTTATGAAGCAATTAGGCGCGAAGTCCGGCCCCGCGAGCGCCGCACGAGAACACGTGTAAATGCGATCCGAGTCGCGCCCTTGCACGCATTCCCGCGCGTCGACTCGCTCACTATCGGCAATGGTACCATGACGCGATCTTGGGGCTCAGACTTGTCCTATGACCCGGACTATTTCACCCCTATAGTAAACGAGCTCATAAGGACCCGATACCCTTGTCACACGGAGAATCGGCTATGTCCGCGGGAATTCCACTGTGCCACCACTAGCGACCCTCGGTGCTCCGATTTCCCTTCCCCCGACCACACCTACTACTTCACCCACCCGGGATTCGTTGAGATCACCTCCAGTTTCCCTCCTTTCCGCCTCCTTCTCCCGTACCATCAGCTCAGTGTCGTTCCGTGGCCGGCCATAGCCCCCTATTGGCCCAACACGTTCTGTATAAACTGCCGACGCAGCGGCGCACAAAGAGCCCCGAAATTCCGAAGGCCCAACCCAGGCACGCAGCGGTGAACGCCACGTGGCGCCCCCGACGGCCTAACTTTTCAAGACCATCTCCACCACGGAGGAATTTTCCCGTAACCCGTCGCCCACAATGCCCCGGCCCCATCGGACCGTGAGTCCCTTGCGCACACCCGCCTAATTGCATTCATACCCTTAAGACTCCCCCACTTTCCCCAAAAATCCTTGGCACACCCCTTTTCGCACTTCCAGGCCCACATCCCACTCCGATCAGGAAGTCGCGCTGGGCGTGAGGTTGGGCGTCACAAGGACTTTAGAATAATGTACCCAACGTACAAGCAATCTAGTCACCTCTGTCACACTCAGGCTCACTCAGGGACACCCTTACCCATCCATGTACACTCCATGTACACTCTCAGACAATCGTCTCGATCAAGGAAAGTGGATGTGGTGGGAAAGGATCAGAGACGCCTGTTGGGGGGGGGAGCGGAAAAGAAGGGTCTGTATTCAACCAGTCGTTGAAAATGAGGCGGTAGTCCCTGCATTCTACCAAGTCCTGCTGCTGTTGGTCCTCCCTATTACCACTCCACTCAACTCTCGCCACCCATCCGCCACCATCCCCTCCCAACCAGTCTCTTCCGGAGGAGGAGATTGCCTTCCTAATATCCTGATTAGTCCGAAAGAGGTCCAGCTGGCGCTTCAAAGCTTGCCATTTTCTCATAAGCTCCATCTGGATTTGTTGTTGAATCTGCTCCGTGGCCTCATGACCTTCTATCTGCACGCCCTCCCTGGCAAGGAGGCAGCGTTACCACCAGAGCCCCTAGAGCACCACTCTACGGCCTAGATGAAACATATTTTCCGTGAATGTAGATAACTCTTGGACCTGAGGCCAATATCCTAACAGTATCGCCCTCCAGGTCCAGGGCCACGGAGTGTCAGTGATTATTTTTCTCCAGATTCTATCCCACCGTCGCCACGTTAATTGCGATGTCAAGCATTGCATAAAGATATGTTCAATGGTTTCTGCATTCCTCCGTGGTGGGAAGGCTCTCAGGCATCGTGCGCACCAGGGAAGGGCTCGACCTTTTTGTTCCAGGTTTGTATGGTCAATCAACCTCTTCATAGTTGCCAGACAGCGATGTGCTATCTGCCACTGTAAGGAAGTAATCTTCGCAGGTTTCTCTTTTCGGTCTTGGAACCACGATATTGGTGTCAGAAGGGAGCGGTCCACGTTGAGATGCTTTGCCCACCTAT